TGTTTGGTGAAGACGCTGATGAAATGCAGAGTCTTTTGGTAGCATGAGCAACAATGCCAGAATGTTTGGGATGCGCTTCTCTCCCTCCAAATGCAAATTGTTGCTTCAGGGCTGGTCTGCGTCAACACCTGAACTAAGGATAGGGAGTGAAATAATCGAACGCGTTGACAACTTCGCTTATCTTGGAAGTCTGATCAGCCCTAATGGGTTGGTGTCTGACGAAATCTCAGCACGGATTCGAAAAGCTCGTTTGGCCTTTGCCAACTTACTTCATCTATGGTGAAGGCGAGATATCCGTCTATCAATTAAGGGTGGAGTATACTGCTGTTCTGTTTTACTTTATGGCTGCGAAACGTGGCCAATGAGAGTTGAAGATACTCGTAAGCTAAAAGTATTTGACCACAGGTGCCTTAGAAATATTGCTGGGATCACCGGGTAAGTAATAATGAGGTTAGACGTAAGGTATTAGGGAATGATGGTAAGTCAGTTGATGAGGTTATGAATCTTCATCGACTGAGATGGTTGGGCCACGTGTTGCGTATGCCTGAACACCGATTACCACGACGCGCAATGCTCACTGGTGTTAGGGATAATTGGAAGAAAGTTAGGGGCGGCCAAACCAAAACGTGGCATCAGTTCTTGAAGACACTAACTTTTGGTTTGAGCCATGTTGGTAGATGCAGACTACCTGGTTGGGGTCCGCGTGACTATCGTAACCAATGGTTAGAGACTCTCGGTGACATGGCCCAGGATCGATCACAATGGCGTCAATGCATACACTCTCTGTCTTCCCTTAAACTAAGTGATTAAAATCGCTTCATATCTTTCTTCCTACGAACTAATTCTTTCTTCCTGTATTATATCCTTATACACAATCTTTCTTTTATATACTACTACCTCTGATGTGACTACTTCTATGAATCCGGTGTTCATCTTGTTGTGCTAATGCGGTATGGCAACTTGGACCGATGCATATATGTGCCTGGTCCTACGTTGCAGCTGACTGACTGACTGATCCAAACCACCGCTACTGAATAACACAATATTGTTAATCACATAGTCATTCGATGAATGCATATACATGTAAGGTCCTCGTCACTTAAGAGTAATTTGTCTAGAATGCTAACTGTTAACATCCCATTTCTGGCTATATATACATATACATATATATATATATATATATATATATATATATATATATATATATATATAGCTGATTAATCACATGAAATTGTTTGATTGATCGGAAATAGAAAAATCGAATTGATTTTTCATTCAATACAATTATGACGCCCTTACTTTTTCCCTTGTAATTGCAGCTCTTCTGATGAAACTAAAAGGTTTCCACTGCCAGCACCACATCAAATTTGCGAAAATTTGGAGGTCGAAGTACCACCGATTCCCCCTCGTACGCCACGCGTGCGAATAGTCGATATTGATCAATTATGCGCAGCATGTAATTCCAAACTAGGTAATCTCAATAAACCGATATATTTAGTTCATATACTTAACAATTTATCAATTACATTTTAGAATCATTAATAGTTCTATGCTATTTATCACATAAACCTGACAGTGCTTAGTTATGAGGTGAAATAATAAAGTAAGATAGAATAACTTTTATTTGTAGCTTGAATAAGCTTATCAGTTGTGGTGAGCTATTTTCCTTATTTACTGGTACATTTTCCCACAACTCTTGCAACTAAAATATTTGCCGGCCATCCTACTTTATATCCTGTGTAACACTGGTTTGATTTGTCTGCACAAATCCTGCATTTACAAGAACTCGAAAGTTTTCCATAGAATTTGAACCAAGTGGTTTATTAGTGGTTAAAAGACTCCAAACTGCTGCGTTAGTTAACGCAACAGGTGAAGGAAAACAACCAACTGACCCCACAAGAACTCGAAACTGCTAGTCACCTGGTTTGACCCTCTTTTTAGTTGCTCTGTTTTAAGGAGCTCAGTAATTGTACGTGATTTATGTTGAATAAAATAAAAAGTTCGTTTAGAAATAACTACTGATATATGATTACTATATGGAAACTAGATGAAAAAAATGGTCTGAACAGTGATCAGCTGTTAAGCCAAAAAGTTAAGAGTAGACCTGACAGATTGCAAAAACTTCATACGCACTTTCAATCTCTATAAATATCAACCTTACAATTGGCCAGTAAGATCCAATCACTATGGATTCTTAAGCTTTTATCAGAATGTATGCGTCAAGAGTTATCCTCAACTATATTTCGTATCAAACTTCAGGTTTTCATAAAGATTTAAAACATTTATAGGGACATATTTCAACACCCTTCATTTGAGACTCCTGTTTCAAGTTAAGAAACCTAACTACATTTTAGATCTCAAAATTCTATCTACGTAAATGCTTTTCTTTTCTAAGGATGTTCGTTGTTTGTTCTAAATTGTCGACAGATGCAACCTTTGCAATTTGAGTATTTTGAACCAAACGTAATAGGCTCGCAGTTTTTGTTTATTATTTGTTACCACTCAAAAATGAGGTTTTTCATCTAGAATAAACACTTTTAGTCTCCTATTTCAGTATGCATAATAGAGATGTTGACGCTGGAGCAATCAAGCCATATCTAACCCCTATATTACCTAATGACATACAAAAGTCCGTTGTCACACTAAGGTTCTTTGTGTTCGTCTGATTCTATACATTCTTAACTGCCGCAAAACATTTAACAGCAATTACAGTACAGATACTAACGTTAGAGATCCCAGCTGGGTTTCAATTTTTCGAATTATCCATAGCTATTATAAACATCCACAGTTTAGTTTGTGTATAAATTAACAGTCTCTTTCATCGCGCATCGATTAAAACGATTTACTTTATTTGTTTTCTACACAGATTCTGAGGACTCAATGGTTATTGAATCCTTAAATCTATACTATCATTTACCATGTTTTGTATGTGCAAGATGTGGAATTGCGCTGGGCGATGGTCTATCAGACGTGGAAGTTCGTGTTCGACGTAACTTGCTTTACTGTTCACATTGTCATTCCAAGAATCTCACTGTATCAAATTATAAAAAAAATGAATGTCATCCAACGATGCAAAGTGTGCAACCTAATTCTCAATCACTAAAACCACTTAAACCCACTGACAAACGACACCGAAACGGTTCAGAACAGCAGTTATCATCTAATTTAAATAAAGTAAGACTAGATAACATTTATTAAAATTTAAATGACATTATTATTCACCGAACCTACAATACGACTGTTATATAAGTTCTAAACTTTAAACATTATTAAAGCATATTCACATAAGAGCAGCTTATTTTTGATATCATGACCGTAAACTGACCAATAAGAAGAACATCAAGTCACTGGAAGTTGGTTAGACTTATTAGGATAGCTGGAATTCCGTTGTCTATGTTAAGAAAATACGCATATTGACCATGTGATGGAAATACGAAAATTGCAAGTAAGATTTTAGGAACACATTATTCAATACACTAGTCACAGAGACAAATGACTTGTTAGATTATTCAGACGTTCCAAAAGAAGCTTTCGTTGGAGACAAATTTATTAACTGATAAATTATAACAGCTACCAACGCTGCATCAAAACCTTGTTTCCCTGGTTATCAGACCAATTTTCGAAATTTCACTGAATGATGCACGGTTAACATATCCACTATAAGTTTTACTTCTAACCTCTGTAAATCTCTAGATGTAAATATCAGAGGAGTCTATTTGTAATGTAAGTTCTATACCCTCTCACTTAATTTGTGATATTATCCGCTCGATATCGATTCGCGAAAAGAAAAAAGGCCACAGTAACATCAGACAGAATATTAATCATTGAGTAGTGATCAATCTTATATTTATTTTTTCGTTAGCGCTGGTCGAACTATATCGATCAAGTTGCAATACAGCCACTAGTCTAAGTCCTTAAAACGACTCAATGGTAAAGTCTCAAGTTGTAGACCTAGATTACACCTTGAGTACGAGCGCAAACTAGCACAGAAACTAATTTCGGGGTATTCTGTCGACTACCTACAACCCCTGGACTTTAGACCATTGAACTGACTCGTAAAAGAGTTTAAATATAGTACGCTAGTTTAAACCATCACCCGATAAAATCCACAAGTTTTACACGAAATATACAGGAAAAATACTTGGCTAGTCGTCAGCTTTCATCTAAATGTAACCTATTTTAGATTGGAACTCTGTGGTTATACAAACAAGTTTTCTTAGCAAGTTATAAATTTTCAGTTGATTTTCATAAGAATCACTTTTTTGTTGATTCTGGAGCGATTTGACTGCCTCATTTCAAAAAATGAATGTAATCTTACTGTCAAAGCACAAATTAGTTGGCTTTCTTAAATTTCAATACAACAGTGTTATTCCTGCACTGATTTACATACAAGAGGTTCATGGAAGATAAACACAATAATATCATGAAGTTAAAATCTGTTTATTTCTTTCAGCATCATGTTCTGTAAATTGCCTTCGTTTTTCCTTTGTTTTCATCAAAAGAACACAATTTCTCAATATTGTGGACTATGACTGACAATTCGAGCTTAATAACTGTGATTTCGACGAGTTCAAATAGGAAATTTAGATCACCAACAGGCTTCGTAAGATGATTCCTACTGATTCATAAATTTGAGCTATAATGCGCACTTTTATCTCATAAAAACTGAAGCTACAATTTTGTATGCATAATTTTCTTTTGCTTGGCGAAATTCTCTTATTTTGCTACTATTACTTTCAAAATTGATTCGTTAGTTGTCCTTTAACATATCATTTATATATCATCATCTAATTTTCTCCTCATACGACTCTATCTTCGCACTTATGTACAATCCTTTTAAAAACATCGTAATTTAAACTGTATAATCGGAATATATCTAAGATATCTCAAAATACTACTAGTGTACGTTTATAGTAGCATTGAAACATCAAAGTAAAGATATACGACAAAAAACTAATGCTTTTTAATCTACGAAACTTCTTTTGGCGATTGAAATATGTTTACAAGTTATTTCGTTCTTTAAGTGGAGCCCAAAAGTAAGGTGAACGAGATTTTTGACTTCTCCTGAATGAAGAAAGAATACATTTCGTGTAGTATACTAACATACCTAGGTCGAAAATGAAACCATGGAACACCGAAAGCTTTTGAAAGTTCTACTACAGTAGGCTCTGCAGAATTTTTGATAATTGTATCGGGTACATTGATTTTTAGAGGAGAAGTTGGAGTACGTAGCGATTTAATGTTATGTGAAATAGGCTAAAACAAAATGATAGGCTAAGAAAACCTACTTTAGTACACTCATAAGGAACTTTTCTGACTGGATGCCAACAAACGACAACTGCTCCATCGGGAGAAAGAGTTATAGCTGACTCGCCACTTTAAAGTGATTTCAATAAAAATAAAAATACCTTTCCACCAATTCTTTAGACGACCTATAAGCACGGGTTGCATTGATTTGAAATGATCTAGAAAAAGACATATAGGCTAATATTAAATTAATTATGAATACGCGACATAAAAATATTCAGTTACCAAGAAATAATGGTGTTTATTTACTTACTCGAATATAGCCTACATCTACGGTATGAAGTCCAGTAATAGAATTTAGTCCCATGAACCTTAGAAAGTTGGACTCAAGTATGCAATCCATCGGTTGGAAACAATGCTCAAAACTATTGAGCAACATCGTCAAGCTTGTTTAGTGACAAAATAGTTTTAGTGATCATTCTCCCACCTACAATGTGGTACAATAATGTTTGTCCCGACCGTAGCTGCTACCTTGACGTGGTGGTCGGGCTTGCCTATCGTGATGACCCAACCGAGCTATATTGGCTGGAACACATGTTCCTGCAGGTTCTACCATGCCAGGCAGGTCGATCGGAGAACGGTAAGACCAAAGGCAGCAACTCAAGGACTGAGGGCGAAGTCGTACTGCTGATTGTACAGAGGTGTGAGAGCAGTAAGGTGTTTCCCTCGGACAACCAGCATGGCAGCGATGGTGCCTTCTCACAAGGAAGGAAGGGGTTAGAAAAGGTTGACCCTAAAAATGTCACACCTCAGCTTACCCCACGGATTTACGTCTCCGGCGGTAGGGCCCCTTGAAGAACAAAGCTAACACATTAAAAGCCTCCCACAAAAAGGCCGTGCGCGACCGGCCTCAAGCAGTTGTCCCTTGGGCTCTGCGGTCACGCACCCAGGTCTTCAAGACCAACACTAGTCCGATTTCCTTTTCAGGTTCCTCAAGAAATACCCTTCCACGGTGTGGGCAACTGGGATGTGATATCAGCCATCATACCCGTAAAAGCACACGAGACCAAGTTGGTCACATTCAAATCCTTCCTACACCTCCTAATAACTATCTTATCCCCATGACCAACCCTTCTCACGTCCCTTTATCACTTCGCCCCGCTAGTGCAAACGATTCGAATACGCGGAATGTTATTCCTGGTCTCCTGAAACCACGCTCTAAACCACACGTAGGAGCTTTCAACGTCCGAACACTGCCAAATAGGACAACAGGCTTCCTTAGCTAAGATTTAAGAATCTCGCTCCATCGATGTGTGCTGCGTCTCCGAAACGCGCATACAGGATCCGAGTAGTGTCATTCATTTGACCGCACCATGACAAAGTAACGAACCAACTCGATTTACGCTTCGTGTATCTGGAAGCCCTGATGCTGCTCCCCGTGGCCTCGCTGGCGTAGGTATAGCATTGAGTCCTAGGGCAGAACTAGCTCTTTTAGACTGGATCCCAGTAGACAGTCGTTTGTGCTCTGTCCGACTAAACGGAACAGTAAGGACTCGGGGAGATAGGGACACTCGTCGTTGCCTCTTCGTCGTCTCTGCCTACTCTCCCACTGACTGCAGCTCAGATAATGTAAAAGATGAGTTTTACGGAAAGCTTTCCGATCTTCTCCGAAAAGCTAGGCGTTTAGATGTAATATTGGCTGGTGACTTTAATGCTTAAGTAGGTAAACTAAGCGAAAAAAAGACACCTGGGTCGATCTTATGGTGTCGCGGCTCAAAGAACAGATAATGGCGACCGTCTGTTGCAGCTATGCTCAGATAACCGCCTGTTTCTTGCAAACACTAACCTCAAGCATAAGGAAAAACATCTTTTAACATGGCGACCCCCTAATTCGTCTCAACGCTGGACCCGAATAGATCACATCGCTATCAGCCACCGATTGAGGGGCTCGATAGAAGACTGCCGCTCATTTTGGAGCACATGCTTAGACTCAGATCATGCTCTAGTGCGAGCGCATATTTGTCTACGTCTTACTGGACGTAGGAAAGATGATACAAGTAAACCCCTTAGGATCCTACTTAATGATAGTCAAGCTAAGAGGATATTTCAGGAACAACTAGAAAAACAGTTAGGCAGCCATGTAACTGATGCCCACCCCGAGGCAGCGTGGAATGACATCCGAAAAGCTGTAGAAACAGCAGCGATGTCTGCAAGTACGGTAAACCATAAGGTTAGGGAGAAACACTGGATCTCAGCAGCATCTACCGCACTGATAGATGCTCGGAAACTCATTCCATCTGGCTCTGAACATAACGAAGAGCGGAGTCAGCTTAAGCGTAATTTGACTAGAAGCTTACGCAATGATCGTGAACTGTGGTGGGTAGCGAAAGCAAGAGAGATGGGAAAGGCAGCGGCAATAGGTAACAGCAGGCAACTGTTCAAACTTATTAAGGAAACTAGTATTAGGAACCCAACTGTTAGCGAAACAATCTCAGAGAAAGATGGACGTATTATTCATTCTCAATCCAGGAGATTGGATCGATGGGCAAAACACTTTAGGGATCAGTTGAACTGGCCTTCAGCCACACTTCGGTTTCCCACGATCTCCAATCTACCTCAATGGCAAGTTAATGTAAGTCCTCCGACTCTACGAAGTTGAAAAAGCTATAGGAAATCTGAAGCGTGGGAGAGCAGCAGGCCCTGACAGGTTTACCCCTGAGATTTTTAAGGATGGCGGTCCAGTATTAGCAGCGAGATTGACTGAGGTCTTAGGTAGAATCTAGGAACTGGACGTAATCCCATCTGACTGGTCTCAATCACTGATTGTGCCAGTCTATAAGAAAGGACAAAAGTCCTCTTGTGACAATCACAGAGGAATTAGTTTGACTAATATAGTGTCTAAAATATTAGCTTCAATAATACTTCGACGTCTAACCAAAGCTCGTGAAGAGCAGGCTAGAGAAAACCAGGCTGGTTTTCGACCTGGACGTGGTTGTATAGACCAAATATTCACACTAAGTCAGGTCCTAGAACATAGAAACACATTCGGACGCCCCACAATGATAGTATTTCTAGACCTTAAGGCGGCATTTGACTATGTTGATCGTGAGGTTCTATGGCAGTGTTTGTCACTGAAAGGAGTTGTAGAGGTTAACAAAGTTTGTTGAGATAAATTTCCTCTATATTCGACTCCCAATAAAGATATCTCATTAACCGAGTATTTAATACAGGCTTAATCTCCTAGTAGAATTATCGATTTACTCGAGATCATTAAAAAGCCCAAAAATCAGTTATAGAGATAGTTTATTGTGAAAGCTTGGTAAAGTCCGCAAGCATACAGCAAGCAAGCACCGAGTGAGTCAAAAATCAAAGTGTGTGTGTCTGTGTTAAAAGATTCATATATATTTTTGAGTATCAATCAAGTGTAGATAAATTATTGATTATCTATGTGTCACAACCAATGGGGAATAGAATAGGGATTGAAGTGCAGACACACGCTCAATCATACTCATATGGAAATTAACACAGTTGTGTAGACAAATAATACATTAATGGAATGGGCTTGCTACATAAGCTCCCATCCAGAACATTGATGTTTTTATTTACAAAAAAAATTTTATTAACATCTATGTTCGACAAAAAGATGAAAAACGAAATTGTCTTTAAAATAAATGTACAATTTGATATGATGATGAGTAAGCGTTAAGTTGTCATAACAGCTTGTGTGTTGAAACGCTTTGTATCATGTATGTATAAATGTATATTTAACATCAACGAATTTCATCAAGTTAAAATGTAAGCATAATGAAGATCCGTGGGGCCAATAAAAAATAGTAATGAAAATAAAGAAGGATTTTTGTGGTATAAGAGCAATCTCAGGACTTGGTCTAGATAAATATGGTGGTTGCTACATACCTATCTGGCCAGTGTACTTTTCTTCCTGATCTTGTTGTGGTTTCTGTTGCGGGCGTACTTTTGAGTGAAGTTTTGTTTGTTGCAGTTAGTCTATTTGATGCTTGCTCTGCTGCAGGTTTAGATGGTTTTACAGTTGCGTGTTTCTCAGTGTTCTCTAAAAACGCTGGTTTTATTCTGTCGATGCTAACAGTGTCATGTTTACCTGCTCTTTCCACTGTAATTGTTTTACCGTCTTTTCGGATGATTTTAAACGGGCCGTCGTAAGGAGCCTGTAACGGCTGTCGTACTCTATCATTTCTGACGAATACATGTGAGCATTTGTCTAGTTCATTAGGTACGAATGATCTCACCTTTTGGGTTCGTGGTTCAACGGACCTAATTGATTCCATCTGTTGTTTTAATTGTTGTACATAGTCGGTTATGTCTGCTGGAATATCTGTTGCGCGGTCAAAAAATTCACCAGGCAAACGTAACGTTGTTCCATACACCAACTCGGCAGCACAACAACCAATGTCTTGTTTTATAGATGAGCGAATGCCTAATAGTATCAAAGGAAGTTTGGCATCCCATTTGTAATCTCCTCCAGCAGCCGTCAAAGAGGCTTTTAATTGTCTGTGAAACCTCTCTATCATTCCATTAGCAGTCGGATGATAAGCAGTGGTTCTAATTCTCTTTATACCGAAAGTATCTGTAAGTTGCTGAAATAGTTTGCTTTCAAACTGAGCTCCACGGTCGGTCGTAATTGTTGTAGGGACACCGAAGTTTGTAATCCAGTGTTTCACCAGTTTCTTCGCTACTGTTGATGCTGACGTGTCTTTTAACGGAACAGCTATGGGCCATCTCGTAAATCTATCTATACATGTTAGTATGTGCGTGTAACCATTAGAAATTGGTAACGGTCCAACAATGTCGATATGAATGTGGTCGAACCTAGCGCTAGCGGCGGGGAAAATTCCTGTAGGAGATATGATATGTCGATGTACTTTTGACTTCTGGCATTGGATGCATTCCCGTGACCATTTTCGTACATCTTTGTTTATGTTTGGCCATACAAACCTATCTGTGATAAGCTTTACAGTGGCTTTTATACCTGGATGAGATATGTTGTGTAGTTTCTCAAAAATGTTTCGTCTCATGTCACAAGGTACAAAAGGGCGAGTTTTACCTGTTGAGGTATCACAAGTTAAGATGTCCTTGTTGTTTATGGAGACGTTTTCGAATACTAACTTCGTTTCCTTAGACTGCAGAAGCTTTTGTAGCTCCCTATCGAGCTTTTGCTGTTTTGCCATATCTTGATAGTTTA